CTGAGCCCTGACAGCCCTGCAACTCTAGCCATCTTTCGCTCAAGCTTGTGCGGTGCTGCCACCGGTCCAGCTCATTCCCTTCCCCTGCTACCATTTTTCTAGGATGGTCACGTACCACCTGCCAGGTGCCAATGTACCACAGATGATACCTGTACAACTGGTTGAAAAGCCCTGGTCTATAACAATTACAGTGATTTTGATTCTCAAGAATTCTTTTTATATGTGTGAATATCTTTTGCAGTTGTTGTGAAATCTCCTAATCAAGCCACATTTTCTTCTACTAGCCTGTAGGTCTTATAGAACAGCGGTTCCCAATTTTTCTGGCTCACGGAATGGCAGCAGCAGCAGCAGTGACAGCGATGGCAAGGGGGGAGTTGGAGAGGATGGTTTCACATGTACAGCCTAGCTCCCGAGCATGTACAAATGAAGCTTTGCACACTCGCCCTCCACTCATATGGCATGGTTCCCAACAGGCCACAGACTAATACAGATATGCAGCCCAGGGAGCAGCAGAGTCAAAAATCTTGGATTAAAAAAAAAAGAAGAAAATTGAAGAAAACCTGTTCTTACAGAGTTAACAATAGTGCCACATATGTTCTTGCTAGTTGAGAAGTCTTGCTGTATTTAGCACGTTTGCATACTAAATTTCCAAGTGTAGAGAGGCTTAGCTAAGGCCGAGGAAGCCAAAGATAAGTCTAATATTCTGACTCTAGTTCGTATAATGAGTACTGTTGTTTGCCTATCTGCCAAGATTAGCACTTTTTGATTTACTAAGGAATAAGAATGATTACTGACAAATCTCAACCTTTCTCCTTTAGTGCAAGGAAAAGGAAGAGGAGTTTACAGTTATTGAGAAATTATCAGTTGGCTGACTGCCTTCAACACAGACAAGATATTATTACATTGATTCAGTTCCTTTAGCGGCAACTTTGATAGTTTTTTCCATGTACATTCCGGCATCTGAAATTAGAGGCTTTTATTTTTTGTTGACTAAAGTTCACCTCATTATCATTATACATTCATGTCAAAAGCAACTCAAAAAACACCCACGTTAGCAAAACAAGCTTTTTACCCTTCCTCTCTCCTTTGTGCTTGTTTTCTCCAACTACCAAAGTGACTTTTCCTGGTAAAAATTAGACATGTTATCAAGGACAGGAGAAATGATAATGTAGCCAGAGAACATAATATTCAACATAAGATTTAATGGCAAGTGCTATAGAGCTTTTGCATAAATTATGCACATTCATGACAGGCAGACTGCATCTATAGAATATACGTAATTTTCATTTCTTTCTAGTGCCAAAGATAGAACTGAAGAATAAACTATGCTTGGTTTGCTCTGAAGATTATACATTTTTTAAAAAAATCAAGAAAAGTTGGATACTTAATGAAACTTTTTTTTTTTTTACAAAACAAAACATTCAAATGAAGCTGTCTGGAAAAGAGGAAAAATTAATTGCTTCCATATTCTCTTCTTGTTATTACTTTCATTTTCTGATCTCTGATCGTTTCCACACAATTTGGAAGGAAGGGCTGCTTAGTGTTATTTACCCATCAGAAGAAAGTAAGAATTTTCAACCAGTTACTAATACTGGTTGGAATCTTAGCAACAGGATCCAAGGATAGCTTGGGTAACCCTTCACTGTTCAATGTTTCAACTATTCTCAGTTATGTCAAAATTGCATTACCAAATAGAAAGATTGTACCATTAGCAAACAGAAGGGTTAATGGACTTGTGATTGCAATTCCAGGCCAAGATAATTATTAATAACAATTTTTATCTTCAAAATTCACAAGAATATTTCTGAATCAAAGGTAAGAGGTCCCACAAATAAACGATGCCATAAACAGGATTAAATACAGGTGTGCATGATATATTTGATACAGAGAGTATGTTCATAAGATTGTCATGCTATAGATAACAGAAATAAATTATACAATGCTTGTATCAAATAGTGCATTTAATGGATTATGCTCCCCCCAATTCATTGTTTTATGAGTTTAAGTAAACTAATAATTTCTTATATCTACAATTACAGCCAGATATTTCCTAAAAATGTGAAACAACCTACATTTGCTGGGTACATGCTACTCAAATAGCATCCTGACAAACCAGAGGGCTTACATTTAGAAAACAGGAAAATAATTGGACTGATCAATGCTACCAAAAACAAAACAGTGGATGATGCAGTGTATTCCTGCTTTCCTGTGCTGGGCAATGAAAGAGCAAGAAGCAGGATGGAATAAGCAACTGAGAGCATTTTGCAGCATGAGGCCTTCCACTTGCGTTTCAGACAACAATATCAAGGCCCTCCGGGGAATGTCCTTACTGCAGCATTTTAAAAACTTGTGCTTAATAGCTGAGTGTTGCCAGCAACTATTGTTCTTTGCTCAGTCACACATAAAGCCTATTTGATGCTGCCCTTGTATAGCTGGATTAGCTCACTACTTTGGCATAATGAATTGACTTGACCTACAGTTAATTCTCCTTTGCTCATAAATTGTTTAACTATAAATAGGAGAGGCTACAAATATTCATCTCTTTCAAAGTTTGCTGCACTACCACAGACTCCAAAACAGGGCTAGCATTTAACATTTTGGGGAGACTAAGAATCACTACAGGCGAAGCAGGAATGTAAAATAAGTAGGGTATGTTGTACATATGGGCAATGATGGGATTTTCAGAGTCCTTTTTCCTATTTGGGGGAAAGTTTGAAAGTCCTTCATTTAAAAAACAACAACATAATAAGTATATTGGAAGATTTACCATTCCAAGCTTATGAAACACAAGGATATCACATCAAAAATGTTTTCCAATTGTCAGAAAAGTTATTCAAACAAAGGCTACCTCCTATATGTGACCTTAAGATTGGTCTCTATGTATAAAATCTATACGTTTAGGGTTTCATTTCATGGTGGGATTCTGGATACAAAACAAATGAATAGATCTTATTGGCTGCTGTGAGTTACAGAATGCTGGACTAAAAAGAGCATAGGCTTGATCCATCTGTCTTCTGTAACCTGGAACAATATTGAAATGTTCACTAATTCAAACGAATTCAAAACAGATGCATTTATAGCAGGTTGTTTGAATTTCAGTTTGGCAATATTAGCCATACTGAATACATCAAGTGCTCCTTTGGAAACCGGTGTAATCAGGAAAAAAAAATGCATCTCCATGAACATCCACCCTGTAGGAATCAAGTAATATCTTCTGAATATTATTTCCCTTTTGTCTCCAGGCTACTGTGATTAATTTATGTATTATCACTCTATTTTATATTATTTCATATTTTCTGTACCATTCTTTTGTTAGCTTTTTAAAAAACACACTGTCATTTTTCTTTGCAAGAAGTGTTTTTGCTTCAGCTAGTGAATCATAAACATGTGTCCTGTACTAGCTTTTAAAACAATTTCTCAAGTAATTTAATGGAGCTACCTGTGAGGTTTATTGTGAAACCACCTGAGATACTTTATTTTCAAAATATTACTTTATTGGAGTGTTTGAAGTGTTCTCATAGGGAGAATGCTTGTATCAGCAGCTGTTTACTTTAGCTTACTATAATACTGACATTTTTTCAAAACACTACCAGAGGAGTAGCAATGCTTCTTTTCTATTTAATTATCCCCTTTATGATACTTGGTTTATCATACATCAATCCAAAGCAACACTATTGTGCTTGGGCCATCTGCTCTTTCAGAAAAAAATATCTAATATTTTTGTATTCTCTTCAGTTTGTTCTGCAGCTGGTGTTCACCTCATATATATTTAGCATCTGTGTATATTTTAAAATTACAGTACTTTTATCATCTCATCAACAAAAACATGCTAAATAAACAAGGGCAGAAGTAGACAGTCATAGTAGCCACATGCCTTAACTCAGTGGTTATGCCCAAGAATATAGTTAATGAACTCATGACTCTTAAAAAAAAAAAAGCATATTGAACACTGGAAAGTTCATACAAACAATTGCATGTAAGGGGGAAAAAATAATAGATGACACAATAGGAGCCAATGAAAGGAGATGGAAAATAAAATTCCTGCAAGATGAACACACTTAAGGGCTGCTTTCTCTGCATGGTATTTGCCAGATGTGTTGAGATGGCATTCCCTCTGAAAAACAAAGTTCTAACACATCTGGACAACATCAATTTGAGAAGGTTACTCTAAAATGTATTGAGTATGGCTCCACCAAGCAAAGTTTTCGGGTACAGAAGAGAGAGAGGGACAGAGATGCTTGGTAGCTCAATTCATCCTTATCATAACTATCATTATTATCCAGAGCCACACATAGTAGCAATTTATATATGACTTAGGCCAGAGCTCCCCAACTCCTGGTCCATGGACCAGTACCGGGCTGCGGCATGTCAGCAACCAGTCCGCACAAACAAGCAAAGCCCCATCTGCGGGATGCAGGCAGCACACAAAACCACACACCCTCTGATCGGTGGAAAACCCACTCTTTGTGGAACCGGTCTCTGGTGCCCAAAAGATTGGGGACCTCTGACTTAGGCAAAGAGCTAGAAGGAATGTTCATCAAATCTGAAGATGACACAAAGGGCCTCTGGGCAGTGGACAATGCCAAAAATAGGTGAAATTGCCTTCACATCCTTAGCTCTTAATAGATTTTCTCGGAAATCTGCAATTTAGTTAAAAGTGCCAAACTGTGGGAGAAGGAGACTTTTAAACTTGAGTAACATCCTTATTCATTAGGGTGTATATGTATACTCAAATGTATTTCCTAGAAGAGTGGAAGAGGAAATGAAATATGAGACAATAGAAATGTCCCATTCTTCCTTTAGGCTTCTCAGGAATGCTAACTATAGGGTATAAAAATACATTTGGAAGAGTGGAAGAGTGGTTCATTGTATATTTCGATGTTAAGTCATATGACTGGAGACTTACTGTTTAATTTTTTATGAATCATCAAGGGAGAAGGTAAAACAGCAGCAGAAGAGACAATGATTTTATGATTTAAACTTTTTTTATTGAGCAATGTATGAATTTGATTTTTAAGGCTGCTTACTCACACAACAGTTCAAGAAGACAAGTAAACAGGGTTAAAAAGCCATCAGAATTAACAAAAGAAGAATCAATGGTAAAATAATTATAGGAGGGGAAGACAAAATCTTTAGTCACGCAAATATACCAGCAGGTTCAGCAATCTCCCTTGCCCAGTGCCTGCTAGAAGAATCAGGTCTTTCTAAATGACAGATGGGGGGATGCATAATTTTCATACCTCTCAGAATGAACAGCCTGATATGCTTTCAATCTCTCTTTTGGGGGAACATTCAAATAAATTAAACAATAACCATAATACAGTAGTCAAGGTGCCATAACAAACTTATAGCACAGTTGCATCTTTGTTGGACCCAGCCAACATCCCAACCCAGTGCTTGGGGAAGAGCCCGCAGAATCATGGCTAACCATTCTCCCCCCAAAAATAGCTGGAAATGAAAGATGGGTCAGGCCTTTGAATTGTCCAAGGATTCTTCATCTGGCAATATTAAAAAAAGAAAGAAAAAAAGAGGGGAAAATATGGCTGAGGTTCAAGCTAAGCCCACACTCTGTAACATGTTTAGATTGAATGAGGGGAAAGTTTGTAGACCTGCCAGTTGGGTCCTATCAGGTGTAGAAGTGGTGTTAGGTTGCAACTGTGGACTCTGCCAAAGGTTGCTGGAATGAAGAAAAAAAGCAAATAATTACTGTTGGTTCTACATTTTTAGAAACATAAACACCAGCTGTTAAGTCAAACCTCTTTCCATCCTTAGGCTAAACACACAAGTCTCTTGATAGGAGGAAAAAGGAAAAGAGACAAAGCTAGACAAGTTTTATATTAACAAATCTGGAAATAATTTTAAATGTTTTGCTAGGTGAAGAGAGTCCATGAAAGCAAAATCATTAGAATTACCTGGAGGCAGGGGGCAAGTACCCTCAGCTTAGGTGGTATAAATCCCGTTCCTCCAGTCCTGACAGGAAATCCCTTGTGATACCACAACAGGCTACCTCTCAACCGTTTCTACAGTATAAGTAAACTAAATCTTGGTATCGGGCTTCAAGAAATATGTTCTGAAACATGCAAAAGAATGAATTGTCAAAGTTAAAAAAAAAGTAATGTTGGAAAAGACAGTACACTTCAAAACTATGTTTACCCCATTGCATATTTCTCAGTTGTTAATCTAAGGTAAATGGCAGACAGAAGTAATTTTGATGAGATCAACTAAAGTATTAAGGAAGCCCATAAACTAGCCTAAACAGCTAAGAAAATAATTACGGTCTGCTGTTCCTGGACTGAAGGTATGAATCACAGAATCTTCTTGGCTTCAAAACTATTACAATAATATACGTAATATAAAAGTGAATCCTAACCTAATCAGTCTGATGAATCTACATTGCATTCATCTTATTAGTTAAAAACAATAATAATACTGCCGGCATGCCCAATAGATATGATTTCCTATTTGAAGTCTAAAGATTATGGAGAATTCTTGGGATTGGTAGCTTTCTGATTGGCAGGATAATAATCTAGTACAGGAAATTATGCAAACTGTTATGGTGGACTTAGGTTTGGGGCCAATCCCTGTTATTGTATTTATTCTGTTTATGCTTTTAAAAATGTAATCATAAAAGTCTGTAAAGCTGCAATAAATGAAACTTCAGCAATAGTTTCTCTGGAGGACACTGTATGAGACAGAAAGCCCTCCACCTCCTGAGTGATTTCTTCCAGTTATTATATTTAGAATAAACTGGAAGGAGAAGTGGAATCACTATCTGCAAATTTTTACACTACAGAATAAGTCACTCAACTTTATGAAGACTTAATGATTGTTTTGCCTGTCCAGAATTATAGGATTGATTACGTTGTATATACCCAGCTTGCTGGCTGGGGAATTCTGGGAGTTGAAGTCTTGCCACCTTAACGTTGCCAGGGTTGAGAAACACTGCTATAAAACAACAACATGAAAAATAGATCTGCTGATTTCTCTTCTTCTTCAACACTTGGCCAGTAATTCTGATTCTCTTTTTATCTGCACAATGGTTTCTGGAAAACAGCACGGCATTATGCCAAAGCCTAGGAAGCAGCACTGTCTGAAAGAAAATGATTACAGCAAGCCAAAAGTAACGCACAGCTAGCCGAGCAATGACTGTCTCTGGCAGTATGTGTTAGTGAGGGATACCACGACCCCTTTAAATCTGTGGGCATAAATCAGAAAATTATTTATGGTTAGATGGTTGTCAGTTCTAGTTTATAACCAGGACATTTGATTAATTGGAAATTCAGCCATATAATGCTACACTGACTATTTAATAGCCACAAGCTTTGTTACTTGTGATAAGTAGGTACTATCTCTGGCAAACCAGCCCAAAACACTGAGGAGAGAATGGGTTCTTTATTGCTTTCAGGCTGTTGATGTACCATATAATATTTACAAAACTATAAATTGGTATGAACCAATTAATGTTACTTATTTTCCAGAGAAACACACGGCTTTCATAGACTATTTTATTTACAGATTATACTTTCTCCTCAGACTCCATATTGTTTTTAACCATACTATGTCTGGAGGTAATAAAAGGCTCTGTTAATGGAAATTAATATCTGTTTGGTTGACAATGTCAGATGACAAAACATGTCACCGAACAATCCTATGAAGAGCAGAGGTGGGACCTTATAGCAGATATCATTTCTAAGAATCTTTGAAACCCAGCATGAAGTTAGAGAAACTGAACCATGGTGAACCCCACGGTAAGCCCTTTCCTTCCACCTGTGGGATTGTCCCTGTTAAAGAACTTTAAGGTTCTTTAGTAAATGAAATAATCAGATGGATTGGTCATTTTCATTCATGGCTATAAAACTACAATAATTTTCCAAGAAATATTCAGTATTTGGGATTTCCATCAGGCTCCCATTTACTGTCCTTTGGATTTTAATCAGCAAAATACAATGAGAAAAATCTTGCAAGCTGATATATCTATCTATCTATTTATCCATCCAGTCACAGAACAAAGTCAGCCAGAGGTTGCCCTATAAAATTGCTTCTGAGCAGATCCTCAAATCACTGTTAGGGACATGATTATGCTGTCTGTGCATTGAGCTGCCCATACACATAATCCATTGTTCTCAGGCCTCTTTCTGAATGAATTTCACAGTGTAGCTGGTGCCATTGCAGATGCTGACACCAGATGCCCAGGCTGATCAGATCTACCAGATACAATAGCTAGGTCTTCTGCTCTATTTATTTTACTTGCTCTCAGCTAGAACATGTAATGAGCCTGTTTTTCGGGAATGTAGGATGTATATGAGGATAGATGAGTTTTTCCTGATGTGATGTGTTTTGTCGATGTTTTAATTGTTAGTTTTATTTATTTAGCACCCAGAATTTAAGGTCAAGTGGATAAATCTAAACAAATAACTCCGCAGTGCCAACCCAGATAATATCTTGTTGTTATAATACTGGATTACAATGTAACATTAACACTATAAGTCCTATATTGTATTAAAGCATACATAGGATAAAAATGAGAAAATATTTCTGACTTACTGATAGCTGAGTATCCCAAATGCCTGCTTTTATTGCTGGCTATTATGATTTGAGAAACATGGACTGTATCTTGTACCAACATAATGCTAAACAAAGCACTAAACCCAGCTTAACTCCAGATGCATGAAGTTTGCCAGACAGGTGAGAAAGTAGGAACAAAAAACCTTTTGGCACATCACAATAGATCAGTCTCACAATAATTGATAACTGGAGCCAAAGATTTTGGAGAGCCGATATCTTTCAGGTGGGAAGATTTGTGGACCTGGGGAGAGGACAATGTGTAATTAAAACCAAAATGAAGATAGGAAGCTTATTGTCATATACTGTACAATGAGAAAAGGTGTGGCTTTATTCCTATGTAAAGTATTCTATGCCAGGTTTAGTGACTGCTAGTCAGAAGAGAAAAAGCTGGATCCTGATTACACTCATGTGATAGGTAAAGTACAGGCAGAAGTTTTAGAAAAACAATATTATTTATTACTTATATTTTAAGATGGCAACAGTAAACATGGTCCAAGATTTGGAACCCAATAAGCAAAGAATCCATGAAAAAAGATAGGAGAGGTGGAATCTAGAGTTCTAAGCATGATATACACAAAAATTGTTCTCAGTGTTTTCTCCCAGGGAGTGAGGCCAATAAATTGGCTAGACTAAGCCTCCACCCAAATGTGCAGCTGAGACACGTTACTCATTAGAGTCTGTTCTTTCTTTGGCTTGTTTTTTGACAAATCTCAACTCCTCACTGTTGTATCTTTATTGTGCCTCTGCCTAGGACTGGGTGGATGAATTTCAGAGTTGAATGGGGTACAAGCAAGGAGTAATAACAATAACAATAATAATGAAGTTGGAAGGGACCTTGGAGGTCATCTAATCCAACTGCCTGCTAAGGCAGGAAACCCTATACCATTTCAGACAAATGGCTGTCCAGTCTCGTCTTAAAAACTTCCAGTGTTGGAGCATTCAAAGCTTCTGGAGGCAGATTCTTCCACTGATTAATTCTTCTAACTATCAGAAAATTTCTCCTTAATTCTAGGTTGCTTCTCTCTTTGGTTAGTTTCCATCTGTTACTTCTTGTCCTGCCTTCAGGAGCTTTGGAGAATAGCTTGACTCCCTCTTCTTTGTGGCAGCCTCTGAGATATTGGAACACTGATATCATGTCACCCCTCATCCTACTCTTCATTAGACTAGACATTCCCAATTCCAGCAACCGTTCCTTATGTTTTAGCCTCCAGTCCCCTGACCATCTTTGTTGCTCTTCTCTGTACTCTTTCTAGAGTCTCAACATCTTTTGTACATCATGGTGACCAAAACTGGATGCAGTATTCCAAGTGTGACCTTACCAAGGCATTGTAAAGTGGTATTAACACTTCACGTGATCTTGTTTCTATCCCTCTGTTAAAGCAACCTAGCACTATGTTGGCTTTTTTGACAGCTGCAGCACATGTTGGCTCATATTTAAGTGATTGTCTACTAGGACTCCAAGATCCCTCTCACAGTTGCTACTATTGAGCAAGGTACCAGCTATACTATATCTGTGCATTTGGTTTTTCTTGCCTAAATGTAGAACCTTACTTTTTTCACCATTGAATTTCATTTTGTTAGATAGCGCCCAATGTTCAAGTTTGTCAAGATCCTTCTGTATCTTAAGCCTATCTTCTGGAGTGCTGGCTATTCCTGCCAGCTTGGTGTCATCTGCGAATTTGATGAGTTCCCTATCTATCCCCTCATCCAAATCATTGATAAAGATGTTGAAGAACCCTGGGCCCAGAACAGAGCCCTGGGGCATCCCGCTACACTTCTCTCCATGTAAATGCAGTTCCATTGAGGACCACACCCTGAGTACGGCTGGTCAGCCAGCTACGAATCCATCTGGTGGTGATGCTGTCTAACCCCCATTTTTCTATCTTATCAAGTAGTAGGTTGTAATCTACTTTATCAAATGCCTTACTGAAGTCCAAGTAAATTATATCCACAGCATTCCTCTGGTCCACTAATTTTATTACCTGGTCAAAGAATACAATAATATTTGTCTGGCATGATCTGTTTTTGACAAACCCATGTTGGCTTTTGGTAATGACTTTGTTTGCCTCTAGGCAGTGGTGGGATTCAACCGGTTCATACCACTTTTGCAGAACCAGTAGCTAATTTTTTGTTGCCCAGGCCCAGAATGGACTTCCATAAGCGGCATTCCCACAGAGAACCGGTTGTTCACATATTTGAATCCTACCACTGCCTCTAGGTATTTGCTGATTCGATACTTGATTATCTTTTTCAAGATCTTCCCAGGTATTGAGGTCAGGCGGATAAGTCTGTAGTTTCCTGGATCTGTTTTTTTTCTCCTTTTTTGAAGATGGGAACTACAGAAGTGCTCCAGGAGTCTCGGGGTGAGAGGGGGGGCTTGTTGGATATGCTTCAGCCAACTTGGAATCACTAGCTCCACCATTTCTGAAATCAGTCATGTCAAGACAATTGTCCCTAGCTGCCCCTAACTCTACTTCCTTCCTATTTTTTTCATCAGAGGCATGTCCAGAGCAAGAGGCTCCTTCCTTGAGTCTGGTGAAATTTAGTTTTCCTCACTCCAAACCCCAATTTTTAAGTAATCCCTGTTGTGTGGCAATGTAAGTTTTAGACCTACCTTAGGTACAAAACCAGCTGGGTGATCTTGGTCTCATCACTCTGTCTCAGCCCAAGGAAGAAGACAATGGCAAAGCTCTTCTTGAAAACCTTATCAGGGAAAGTGCAGGGACTTGTCCAGGCAATCTCCGAGAAATGGACATGATTGAAGGGGAGAAAAAGAAAGATCTAATTTATATCAGCACCATTCATGAAAACTCTCTATACCTTCCCATTTTTGAAAAAAAAAACAAAACACCAACCAACCTTTTGCTTCCATCCATACATCACTTCATGCATTGCTATTTGCCTCTTATGGAGGAGCTCATCTATTACCTCTAACTATAATCTTTTCAATTTTCCCCTTCGTCTTAATCCACTCATTCTTCTTCCACTGATTTGTTTAGCTATTCATTCCTAGTTCATTATTTCCCTGTATGATCAAACCATTTCGATATACTTCACTCATATAGTTGCCATTTGTTTTTGTATTTAATTAGCATTCGTAAGTATCCCATTTTGTTATTTTTTCTGATATACTGAATGCTAATTTTCTTATTAAATGATAACGTTTCTCTTATACATAAGCAGTTTTATTTTTTTATACAAATATTCCTTCCTTTTGTTAGACTATATACTACCATTGGATTTTTACTAGCATTTCTCCATCTGTTTTCCCATCTTTAATAAACATTCTGCCAAGTTACACAAATTCATCCACTTGCTCTAGTTTTCTAGTTGAAAATTCTTTTGTACAAATCACATAAGGACTTGTCCAATGACTAAGGATGGTAGCATTTTGCAGCATATCAGGCTCTCTGGAAAGATCATCCCATAATGAAGTTTTTGTTGTCATGAAAAAAAATAGGAGCAGCAGATGCAAAAGAAACTGGGACCTCTGTTACTTTTATAGGTGTAAAGAAGACAACCTAACATTTCCTCCCATGCCTAGAAAACTGTAGTCTCTTCAATATCTGGCCTGCCTAGATGGTGGAGGCACTCAGAAAAAAATCTCCACAAGTTGATTTAAATCAAAAGGCAGGCTTCTCTAGGCTGCCATTCCTCTAGAGGTCCATTTCTTAAATCAATTCTCAGCACGTCCCAGCAATCAGAATGATCTCACGGCATTATAAATGTATCCATTCCATGCAAGAACATTTAGAACAAGGAATTCTGCATCCCAGTCAGCACTGATACAATCTGAAAATGACAGGACTTGGAGATTCAGCTCTGTCTGACTTCCTTCAGCAGCACTTGTAAATGGTGCTATTAATAGAAAATTACCTTCTATGGTCTTTCAGAGACTGCTTCCTCCTATTCTTCTACTGTTTAAAATCAAGGCACAGAAGTATTAGTTGAGGCAAGTCTCTTTTACTCCCCCCTCCCACACTGCTGTTATCTTTCTGTCCACTGAATGTCCTGCCAGGACTTAAAGTTGAGGCGGAGTGGGGGGGTGGGGTGGGGAATCCGGAAACCTCTTTGTGTCTTTATCATTGCTGAAATGTTCAGAACTGTTAAACAAATGGAAACATACACACAATGGAATGTAAAAGACTGGCTTCCTTCAGAGAATGAGAGACTGTCCACATGGCAGACAAAGAGGCTGATATTAGGGGTTGCTTGGTCCAGAGCTGGGCGGTGACTAAATCTTTTAGTGCTACAGGATATTAGGACTGTAATCACTGATCCCCCAACCATTTCCTCACCCACCCTCATGGCTGGAGTACTGTGGAGGATAACGTTAGGCTTAATGCTTATATTCTGCTAAATCCAATGGTATTGCCTGTGTATAAACCACATCAATAGAAAAACCACACCTGAAGCTCCTCCAGCTCAGCTTTGAAGATCGCAAAAATAATAAGCTTCTGCATCATCTTCCATTTAATTTAACTCTTTCATACCACCAGTAGTGATCAGGGCCTGTAGCACCAAGTCAGTCATGAAAGATGTTGACCCCAGAATGGAAATGCTGCAGCTGCAAAACAGCCACTAGATTAGGAGTAGGCAACCTTGGCTCTTTTATGACTCATGGTCTTCAACTCCCACAATTCCTGAGCCAGCTGGCTCAGGAATTCTGGGAGTTGAAGTCCACGAGTCATAAAAGAGCCAAGGTTGCCTACTCCCTGCACTAGATGAATAGAATGGGGCATGTGGAAGAATATACAGTATAGTGAGATATACAGCGACTTCAAGGAGACTGTAGATTGAATTCTTAACAACAGTGAGATGTACCTAGGTAGCAATATTTTTTTGAAAATTACAGCCTTAAATGTACTTCCTCCAATGAAGAGCTGGAGATTCTTGTTGAAATATTGTATTCCAGGTTGTACTTTGTACAGAATTATGAACTTTCTGAACACTGGGTTTGATGCCAAAGCTGAAATGCCCAACACTATTTTTTTTTCAATTCTCATTTCTTGATGAAAAAAAAAAAAGAATTGTTGCATAAAGCATTTCTTAACTAAAAAGCCCAGTCTTTCTGTCTTAATTTAGAGGGGTGCCATGATAGCCTTGCCTTGCATAAGAGGCTTTTTTGTTTTTCTTTTTTGTTATTTGCATACCAAGGGCAGCTTCAGAAAAATTAGTTGACATTACAAAGACCATGATGATGAGAGCAAGGATATATACATTAAATATAAATAGTGTGTGATTGGAAGCGGAGGAAATAAATGAGGTGATGTTAAACACTTTAGGGATATGCTCTAGCAGTAAAATAGACTGTTGCTTGTGACAACTCATGTCATACTAAGATCTCCTATTTACCAAGACAATTCTTGTCTTCTGCCTTGAAATAATCACAGTGAAAAGCTCATTTCTTCAGTTTTCAGTGATTTTTTTTTTACTGCTGCTAGAATTACAAACATCCAACTTCAGCAAATGTACTTAGAAGGCCAAAGACAGTGAACACTCTTCAGCATATTTTTTTTCTAAGAAGGCGCTCATAATCCAGCAGAATATATAAAAGCAGGCCAAATGGGATGACACATTTCACTGTGGCTGTTTCTGTTGAGAGATTCAAGGGTTGGCTCTGCCTTCTACTCATTTCTAAAACTGTATGGCAGCTGGCCAAACCTGTCTCCTTTTAAACATCTGTAGACTTTCATAATCAAACTTGCTTCATGAGGAATGATAAGATTTGAGTCCACATTCTGAATTTCCCATTCTATTCCCAATAGGATTGCTTGACCATATTCAAAGAACGTATTCTGTTATCTTTGTAATGCTCAAAGCAACTGTAAGCTCTAAAAATTCTGTGAGATCCTTGGGGCTCTCTGAGCTTTCTTGCAGACGTTTCATTGCAAAACTAGATAACATCATCAGTGCACGGATATACACAGAATATCAGAATATCACTGTGTATATCAGTGCACTGATGTACAAATATTCTCTTCTATTGGTAGTAGAAAATCTTTGTGTTTTCTCAGTCAATTTGATAAAAGAGGATTTGCTTTAGAAATTCTCTCAAAGGAGAATAACATTCCAGAGGTTCTCATGAGAAAAGGGCAGTATTTTTGCATTTATTCAGCTGTAAGGTGCCAATGTACAGTATGTAACTATCTTGCCTTTCTTTATGCAGCGATGTCCACAGTGGCCTCCTGCTTTGTTTCTATTAAATCCCAAAGGACATCAACCAAAAACCTCTCCCATTTGACTTTTCCAATAGTGATACTAGGAGTCCTATCCATGAAATTGTTGGAAAATGTCTCCTTCCACTTTAGAAATTGGAGCTCCCAGAAATGTGGTGGTTAGTTTCCAAAGCATTACTTTTTCCCAGCTCCATCATATGCAACAGTTGGTTCTGCTTCTGCTAAATTAAAAGTTTTCTATTATAGGTGATATAAATTAGGCTTTCCTGCTTTCCTGAATACATGTGGATAAACTAAACTGAGAATGGAAAAAAATGAAGTGCATGTTAGCCCTGCTCCCGAATCCACGTGTGCACTAGCCCTAAAAGACAAGATCCATAAGGAGGTTTTCAACATGCTCAATTGATATAAGTAGAAGTCTCGGTATAATAATTTTCTTCTTGTGCTTATTCATTTATTTGTTGAATTACAGAGTGATTCAGTGTGGTGTGCAATTAAAAAACATAAAAGACCTCAAAACCATGTAAAATGCATTAACAAAAGAGCCGGACAAAAGTAAGAATAAATTAAGATAAAAATTAAAAAGTGGGAGGAGGCATCAACCAACCCTTGGGTTTCATGCTGCTCAGTGATCTCCAGGTGAGTTGGCAGAGCCTGGTTTTTAGATTCCTTCAAAAGGCCAGGATAGTGGAGGCCTGCCTCACCTCTGAAGAGAAGGTTTTCCAGAAGGTGAGGACAATGGCACTGAACTCCACGAGTCAAAATTCCTTAACTGATGGGTTTCGTAACATACCTTCCCTACTTGAGTGGCAGGAAATTTGTTTGATCTTTCCTGCTATTTATTATGACATCCATATACCTTTCCCCTAGGAACTCAAAGAGGGGTTCCTCTCCTTCAGTCTTCAAATAACAATCTTGTGAAATAGTTTGTATTATCAGATCATTTTTGTCCTCATATGCTTGAGTGGAGCTATGGACCTGAGTCCCCCCTGGTTTCAGTCTATCATTTCAACTATTATCTCACACTGGGTTTCAAACAAACCAGGCAAAGTATTCATGCAGCTATCCCAAAGGTGCTTTTTCATGAGGCAACTGGACTTTTTTGTTTTTCTTTGAAGATGTTTTGCTTCTCATACAAGAAGCTTCATGTAGCTCTTTTCTTAGAATGGCAAATCTTAGAAGATAGGAAGATGGAGATGGCATACAGATTTTGCTATTGATTCTCACATAATCTAAACTCCTTTGCATTTTTTGAGTTGTTCCATGTTCATATTCAATCATAATTGAATACCACAAATTTTATTTATTTTCCTATATACATATCTTGTTATTTCCCCCTCCCCCCATAACTTTCATGGTATGGCAACTGCAGCTTAATAAAGCCCCTTCTCCTATAAATTTTTCTCTGTTGTAAGACATCCTTTAGGAGATGTAATCATGTCACCGAAAGAAAAGGTGAATGGAATCTAATTGTATTGAAAATAATGATACATTTTTTTAAAAAATCCTGAAAAAAAAAAAGCCTTCCCCTTCCACCCACCCTTTCGGAGTCGAAAAGGCAATAATCATGGCCAAAGAAAATGTATAAAACTTTTCCATTTTGGAGATTATTTGTTTCTTCTCTGAGTATCAGATGTCAGATGTCAGCAGCTAATTGCAGGGAAGGATTATTGCTTGCAGATTTTGCGGCTGGCCCGACTGAGAATCAGATAGAAGTTTTGGATTTTCTGTTTAGAAAACCTAAAAATCATAGAGTTGGTAAAGAGCATTTAGGCCACTGAATCCAACCTCCTACTCAGGGCAGGAAGGCAATTGTGAAGCATCCCAGACAGATGGATCCCTAGGCTCTAATCAAATGCATCCCAATGAATGTGTTCAGTTCTCTGGATAACTGGTTCTACTGATGAACTGTTTGGTTTTCTTTTTCTATCTTTTAAGAGACTGGCCATCCATATTCATTATGTGTCATCTACCTCTGATTAGCACTTCCTCTCCATATTCATCCAAGGGCCAAGGACCAAATATTGTGGTAATGTTGTGGTCAATCTCTCTTCGATGGAGAACTAGTGATGAGCAAAATTTGACTATGATGTTTTGAAACAGAGATGTATCCACTTAGCTGTCATGCCATTTGACCACATTTAATGAATTTACTAATCAAAACATCATGATATCTTTTGTCAAACAAAAAAGACTGCAGTAATTGTGCAATCTATTAAGGAAGTTGCCCAGTCAAAAATATGAGATAAGGTTAGCCTGGCTAGAATTCTTTGTGACAAATCAGCATTTATTTCTGTTAATCATCATATTGTTTTCAAGCTCCATCTCTTTAGAATCTGCTTTGAGATCGGTAGTGCTTCCAATCCTTTTCTACCATTGTGAAGACATTTGTTCTTGTCCATTTATCTGGTTCTTCATTAGTTCCTTGGGATTTCTCAAAGATGATGCATAAAGCTATGGCCAAACCATCAGCAAGTTCCCTTAATGCTCTTGGATAAAATTCAACTGTCCCTTCATTCAAACGGATACATCTAGACCAGGGATAGGCAACCTCGGCTCTTTTATGATTCATGGACTT